TTCTGATTTTGGATTAGGGATGCTCAACCAAGTATGTGCAAATATTCCAAAATCTGAAAAACCTGAAATTCAAAACACTTCTGGTCCCAATCATTTTCAGATAAGGGATGCTCAATCTGTACATACTGTGGTGCAATTAGTAGAACTATCTGAAAGTGACTCCTGAATATCACTCTGGGTTACCTGGACAAGGATCTAGCTGAAATGGGGGTTCCCTGTCCCCCAGCCAACCTCAGCTTCTCATGAGACTAAGCTTCTTCTCACAGTATCGGGGCTGTAACATCCAAAGAGACCTAAGATCTCCTGGTGGTAGGAAGCTCACACTTTTGGAAAAATCCTACCCACAGCTTCCTCCAAATCCAGACTGCCTGGCCAAGTAACTTGTGTCTTCTCCACTGGCAAAACTGCTTTGTCACTCCTGCTTTATAAAAAGGTAGAGTATCAGCACATCAATGTTCTGCTACTGAAATACTGGCCTACGCTATAGTCCCAGTACTATTTTGACCTCAGTATGCTGGTCTGTGGGACAGTGGGAAAACAGGGAGCTGTGCCTACTCTTTGCTGTTGCCTTTAGTCTTGCAACCTTTAGATTTCCCTAATAAAGGCTATTCTTTAACCTATGTCATGTGATGTTAAAAAACTTATCCCAAACCTTGATGCATAGCAGGTGGCAATCTAAATGTGACAGATGGAAACTCAGAAGGGATCCACCTTGCAGGACACTGATGACCATAAAGTCCTATTTTTTTTTTTTTTTTTTTTTTCTGACCGGTAAGGGGATCGCAACCCTTGGCACTGTGTTGTCCACACCACGCTCAGCCAGTGAGTGCACCGGCCATCCCTATATAGGAACTGAACCTGCAGCCTCGGCGCTACCAGTGCCATACTCTCCTGAGTGGGCCACGGGGCTGGCTCATAAACTCCTATTTTGAACACAAGTATACATTTTTCTTCCACAAATGGGATTGTACAATATGTTCTGCTTTGTAAATTACTCTTTTACAATACAATGTTATCATGATTTGTCCATGTTAATAATATAGATATATCACATGATTTTTAAGCTACATAGCATCAGAACTTGATTTTTGAAGAAAAGCTGTTATTTATTATTTTTCAACATTGGTTAAGTCACTTAACCTCTCTATGACAATTACTATTACAACACCTAAAACACAGTAAGTGCTCAATCAAATTTGGTCTCTCTTTCTTTTCCCAAGGCACTTTAAAAGGATATTTACTGCTAATACAAAAGTATGTAAGAAATAAATTTTAAACTATCAGGAGAAGTCTCTCTCCCAATAGTTTTTCTCAAATATCATTGTGGTAAATATTTTTCCTAACTACGAAATAAAAATCTATACTCTTAAAGGGTAAAAATCATAGCAATGTTATAACTTTCTGGTTATATATACTTATGTTTATAAATGGCCTAAAACCAATAAGAGCTGGCATAAAATTCAAAAAGAAAAGGAAGACAAAATGAAATTTACTATTGGGATGAGGTTTAAACAAGACATGTAGCTACTTCATAAAATTTATACTTTTAAGTACAAAGTTCAAAGAATATGGCCACTCTTTGAAAGAAACATATGCAGTCAAGACCAGTATTTAAATACAGACTCTGAATATACTCCAAGAAACAAAAACACTCACCAAGAGAATACTTAGATATATAGGGGCTGCTAGTAGATAGTGTGATGAAAGCAGACAGTAATGCTGAATAATTGCAGTTGGGTTTTAGGTACTTATTATTTCCTTTTTCTTTTTACCTTTTCTAGTTCTTCTTCCACCGCTTTTTTTTCCCTAATGGCTCGTTCGATTTTGTCTTGTTTTTCGGCACACTCCTATAAATTCAAGTCATATTGTAAATAAATACATTTGGTAAAACCTTAAGAAAAATGGGGAGAAAATGGAGAAGTAAAGTGATTTGTTCATACAGGAATATCATAGTTACCTTATCGACACAGTAAGTTCATATTGATAAAAAACCAAAACTAAACAAAAGTTAATCTAAAAGAACTACCTACCCAAGGTTTCAGCTTCCAGCTATAGGATGCCAAGGAGTTCTAATTACACAGACTGGGTGGGAGTCAGAAGTTGGGAGATTGTAGGGAGAAAAAAAA